ACTGAAAAGAATATTCCTTTGTCGTTAATTAATTATTCCACTAATATTGTTTTGCATGGATATTGTAGCACTTTTTTACGTTCTGAATGTTGTTATTGACTAATGAAGTTTTCAGTATATTACGAAAAGGGAAGTAAAGTGGATCATAGTCCAGTAGGCGGAGTTCCATAAACCCCAAAATTTTTCTACAAATCGACTGCAAATTTGTTATAAATAGAGTAGCACATTAAAATGCACAAACGTCACATAGTGAGGAAAAAAAATTATTAACAATTTACGTAGTAGAAAATGCTTTTTCATTAAATTTTCTTAAATATTTCAGTTGGATTGCACACTGCGAAGAAAATATAAGAGAACAATTTTGTTTCGAATAAAATTTTTTCAAAGATATCATCGTTTCAAATTTTTTTATTGCAAAAATAATTTTGTAATTGACAAAAATCGATGTTGTCCATTTTCCATTTTCGCCATAATTTTAAACATCGCCATAATTTTAAAAATGTTGTCACCGCCGTTCTTGGGGGTGAAAATTCGAAATATTTAGAATTATTCAAATTTCGTGGCTGAAAACGTACATAGGTATTGTATTTTTGAAACCGAGTTGCGCGAAACTAAATCTGTACAGGACATAGCTAGTACCATGCGAAAATCGCCATAATTTAAAAAATGTTTTCACCGCCGTTCTTGGGGGTGAAAATTCGAATTTGATTTGATTTAAAATTATTCAAATTTCGTGGCTGAATTTTTCCAGATTTTGCATCTTTAAGAAACTTAGTGGCTATACAGGCTGTTACAAATTCGCTTCTCAATACAGGGATCCCGGAAACGGTAAGGGATACGAAGTAGCTTAAATGGGGGCAAAGTTGAGTAATCAGAGGACCAACATTATGCCTCTCTCTAGTTTTCGAAATATTTGAAACAAACCGAAATTGTGGAAATCAGTTTCTGTTTAATTTCAGCCTCATTTGAGGTGATATTGAAAAAAGAAGAACACTTTCTCATGGCCACTTTTTGCCCTCTATCGAATCGCATAATCAATTTTTATATGTAACGTTTCATCTCTTCATGACCATCATCAACTTCATTTTTTAAAATACGACCCTAGAAATTTTATTACATTTTTTGCAAGCCTTTATGACCCCCAATACTGTACTGCCTCAGCCCGAACCAGATTCAGACGTTTTGTCTCGAAAAATTAATCTTCAGTGTATTCGCTCCAGATTTATCTAAGTTTTTTATTTAGATTTCTTTGTTTATTGAATTATCGTACACTGTAAGTGTCGTTAGACCCTGTGAAATCCATCTAGTTATTTAAAATATAACCACCACGCATTAAAATAATATAATTATTAGAGTTTTATTCCCGTGTCCATAGTTATTTCTAGGCTTCTCGAATGCACAAAATTCAAACAAATTCCGATCTATTTTTTTTCAGAATATTCATAAATACATCTGACATGCTCTTTCACAGTTGCAGTTACAGATATAATAAATTCCGATAATATTGCGCTGATCTTCATTTTAACCTTTGCCAAAACGAAAATGTTTTTGAACATTTACTGAAATTTTTTAAAGAAGGATATTCAGTTGCGTTTTGGTTGTTCATATGCATTTTTAAGAATTAATTTGTCATAATAAAATTAAAATTGTTATAATGTTTTAATTTTGACGCAACAACTTATTGAGTTATGTATGACCAAGTGATGGTAATAGTTAATAATAATAAATGTTTTATTGTAACGTGCGGTGGTAATAGTTTCAATAACTAGTTTTATTTCACAAAATTTACAATTTTTAATTAAAAACCTGTGTATTCTATCAAAATTACTTCTTTTGAGACACCCTTTATAATACTTTGAAAAAATGATTGTAGGTCTTGAAAAACTTTTTTTAATGAGGTACAAGGTGATGTTTTTTAATAAGGTATTCTTAGGGATTTCATACATTGCAACATTGCTAATGATAATTTATGAACCGTTAGCATGTAGAAATTGCCGTTCAAAATAATCTGTAGGGTGATACTTCGAACCTTAAACTATCTAGGAAAAGACAGTACTCTGTACCTAACCTATATTACTTTAACTATTTGATCTCAGTAATTTCTTCCTATCTTTAACTATTTGGATGGTACTCATCGGAATTTATGGTTCAACGCATAATATATTTTATGTAGTGATTGGCTAGCTTTAAGTAAAAGTCTGGTGGCCGGCCAGAGAATGGAAAACTTGCATATATATCTTTTAAATATCAAGAATCGATAACCATGTTATGAAAATATTAGAAGAATATGAGAAGTTGCTAATTAATAATTAATGACTAAGGTTTGGCATGCAAAATAAATGTTTTAATCGGATACATGCTGCCACGCTAATTCGTGACGCCATTTAGTGCGATCGAGAATCTAGAAGATGAATGATAAGGACAAAAAGGCCCGACAGTATGAACATAGTAGGGAACAAGATTCTAAATACAGCAAAGATCACTTTGCTTCGAGGCTCCCAGCATGCGCGTTTTCTTGAAGAACGTAGTGTTCTCGGTCGCACTAAATGACGTCACAATGCGTTCTTGAGCTCGCGACAAAATTTAAATATTTACATAATTTTAAACGTCTATAATTAATTCGTAGCGTTAAAGAAATTAATTGTTAATTATTGTAGTTTATAAGCTATAAAATTATGCAGTTCTAAAGAAATTAAATGTTCTTGCAAGTTGCCTATTGTACCAATACATTTACCGGAAAATGTATAAAACTGTTGAAAGGATCAACGAAGTAACAAAATTATATTAATGTATGATTTCCCGTACAAATGTATGTACCTAAGACTTCTTAAATTTGGTACACACATAAAAATAATTGTTTAATTCAATGCAGTAAAATTTAAACTAAACAAATAATATCTTCCCATATCCGCAATGCAAACATGTATCTGAACAAAGAATATTATTTCTTTAAAATATTTATTTCAATTAAGTAATAAACGCTTCACATGAAAAATATTTATGTATTGAAATAATATAGTACATATTGTTGACTCAAATTTTTCATTAGTTTAGAGAAAACATTTGTAATTTTATTTTAAATATACTATAAAATTAATATAACATTACATTTGTTCTAACAAAACAAAATATATGTTTGAGAGAAAATTATTGTTTTTTAAATATAAATAAATGGTTTTATTTGATATGAGACTATAACTTTCCTGAATTAAATAAAATAGTTCTTTGGAATAAAAATTCGGAACTTTTTTAGGAAAGATAGGGTAAGGTTAAAATAAAAGTATGAGTATGTTTGAATGGAATGTAATTTTTCTTAAATAAACGTATACACAAAACATTACAAATATAAGAAATAATTTTAAGAATTAATGTTCCTTAGCTGTTTATGTATAAAATAACATTCACAAAAATATAAATAATTTTTCCGAGACAGTGTGAAATACGGTAGGTTTAACTGTTCCTAAAGTTTTAATGTCTACCGTTACAAAATTTTCAGAGATCTTCACAGAATAAGCACTATGATGTAAATCATAATTTAAGGTAATTAATAAATAGCAATGAAAACAAATTATTGTATTGTTGTCTTCATTAATAATGATGTTTGCTATTATACCGAAAGAAGGATTAGGATACCTAATAAAATACAAGACTTGATTTTGTAAAATATACCATTAATTTTTAACCATGGCACGCAAAAACTTAAAGATGAAATTTCTGAATTAAATGGAAGGATAACGTCTCCTATTATTAAATTTTGAATCGGTCCATGTTCAAACGTGTCTATTAGTCCTTTTGTAATAAAATTATATACGATACTTTAAGCTGCGTCCGCATACAAAGTGAAAAATGTAAATTTTTTCTACATGTAATAAGGGTAGCTAAATATTTTAAATCTTTATGTTTTACTTCGTATCTAATGGAGCTAACATGTATTACAGGTACAATTTTCTTTATTATATTTCGGTAGTGAAGTAAAAAATTAAATTTAGGCTTTAAATTTTCTTTAAATAGTTCTAAACACATTAGGTGATGGTCTTCAATAAGACATTTAAAAAAATTAATCGATGCCATAATTAGAAGCAGTTAAATGTTCTAAGTAGTCTTGTTCTTGTCTAAGACTGCATTACACACTCCTACGATGTACTACACAGTACAGTACACCACAGACACCATACACACTCGCACTACACTGCAAGTTATAAAAGTCTAAATGCCGTTGGCTGTTGCTGAAAGTTAATCCACGCTTTTCGCCGTAGTTTTAAAAATATGATAGTTTTGAATTAAAACAATATACTAAAATAAACTATACCACATATTTAAATGCAGTTTATCTGAAAATTTAACGATATGATAGTTTTATGTCAATAAAAACTATTATTCCTTTGATAAAATAAGTATTTTAATTTGGATTTATGATTTATTTGTTTTAAATAAGTTCATTTAAATTAAAATAACCAAAATGTAGATGCAACCTTAAAACATGATTGTTTTAAAGAAATTGATTTGTTTTACAATATAATTTACTATGTTCTAATACATATTATTATATGTTTAAATTTAGGATGTATCTTTGATTCTAATACATTTTCTAAACATAAAATAGAATAGTTCCAAATACAAGAGTAATATTGAAATAAAGATATATGATCAAATTAAATAAATATTTCTTCATAAGAAACAATTGCTTTTAAAGAAATTTGTAGTTTATTATTAAAGATACGTTTTTATGTGTGTAATACATGTAATAATTAATTATGATGAGATATTACTTTCTGGATTCCTAATTTTTTCAAATCTATCAAATAAATTGAATTTATTTAGTACTGTTTCTTCACCACTTTCTTGACTTTTTAACTGCGTATGTTAGTTGCAACAATTATGGTTCACTGATATCATGATTATAAATACTAAGCGTATAGCTAAAAATAAGTAAATAAATAATATAGGGCAAAGATAACGAAAACGTGTCTTAACAGATAATATACATATAAAATGAAAATATATTTGCATGTATTGGCAGTGATTGTATTATGAAGCAAATTGTTGCATTATGTTTAGTAGTGTACCTATCTGAGGTCGTGGTAGAAACCCAGGCTAAAAATTTTACACGATGTGGTCTCATCAAAGAGCTGTTAAAGAACGGATTTAGTTCTTTTTCAGTTGGAAACTGTAGGTATTTTTAACATATTTTTATATACATAGTCTTCTGGATTGTAGAATTAAATTAAAGTTAAGGGAAAAGTGGAATCAGTCTTATTTTGACCTGCTGAATCCGAATCTAATGTCAAAATGATCAGTTTGAGTTTTGACAGTAACAATAAGCCAGTACCCTAGTGATTGGAAAATTATAATAATCTTATTGCACCATAATTCTGTAGATTCGTAACTCCGAAACTTAGGATGTGCCAATGTGTAAAACCATAACATTCTATGGGAACTTGGATCTCAAATATGAGGGGTCTGAAATTACATGACTGTAAGTTGGCAGACTTCCTGAACTCCATAACCCAATAACCCCGCAATTCTGGGTGTGCGAAGATATAAACGAAACTCTGAGTTGAGTAGTCCTATTGTAACTTCGCAGTCCATTAATTAACAATGCGCATGCAAACTCCTGTAGTTCCATGGTCTCTGGCATGCAGGTTTGTGTTAAAAAGTTACTCAGGTTTTTTTCTTTGTATCGTAATGGTACTTCCTTGACGGTACAATCATCGTGAGTTTTTGCTATTGAAATCATTCAAATAGTAAGTTTAGGGACAGGGACATAGGGTTATGGTACAATGAAGTCATGAATTTCAATGTTCTTCCAACCATTGACTACCTTAGATAGCGTAGCTTATAATATCAATGATTGACTAGTCTAGTAGGTTTGAAACCTCGAAAACTACTGTTTAGAGGAGTTTCTTTATGCTAGGATCAAAACATGAATTGATATGGCAATTCCGACTTTTGATTCGGATTCAGCGAGACCAAAATACTATGGGATAGACTGTTCTGGTCAACAGCCCAGTCCACTTCATTTTTGTGGTTACTTAAATATAAGTAAGATTCTACCACTACATCACTACACCTACTGCAACTACACAAAATATTTTCTATGCCTTCAAAATGTTAGACAAGCAAGTACGTATTCTAACATTATGTGTAAACGATTTCTCTTACTTGATTTATTTGCAATTTCTAAAGAATTAAGTTTTACAAAGATATACAAGTGGCAAAATACCCAAAAAAACAAAAAACTAAAGTATACCGTAATAATTTCGGATAGTATGAACATAGATTAATTTTCAAAACCTCACAGTGATGCTTTTTTGTGAGATGTGTGGCTATGCAAAAATAGTTGCATAAAAAAGTGATGAGCGGAACTAAACCGAAATATAGCACAAATAAACGCAAATACGTTATGTTGCTTAATTTTAACTTCATGTTTTTTTTTCTAGGGCTATGTTTAATTGAAAGTGAGAGCGGTAAAGATACGTCGAAGCAAATTTATAAAGCTGATGGAAATACTGGTTTGGGATTGTTTCAAGTAAGTACACAATTCAAAAGAAGAAATTATTTTTAAATCGGAATTACAGAAATTGCAGAAGCCTCACAGGAGCTGTTACAAATTTATTCTTTCTGGAAATTATTAGATCTAGGACAACTGCATGCTTTTAACTGATTATGTTTGACAACCAAACATTTTTACCTTCGTCACAATTTGTTATATTTAATTTTGATCAATTCTGCTCCTCTAAATTTCTAAATGTAGCTATATTTAAGATTTTACCCTCATAACACATGTCTTAAATTCCAGATTAAGAGCAGGGTGTGGTGTAAATTTCGATCTCCAGGAGGAAAATGCAACATGAAATGTGAAGGTAATAATTAAAGAATAAGGAATATTTATTAGGTATCATTAAATCTAAAAAAATATTTAAATATTTAAGCAGTTTTGTGTATAAATCCGTATTATCATTTCAATTCATGAAAGATTGAACTGGTAAAATAAATACCAATCTATACAAAATATGATCCATTTTCTAGCAGGATACTAGATACTTATAGGTTGACGAGCTACTTTTTGGCATTTGACAGGAACTGAGATACACTAGTTCTGCATTAATTTATATATTAAAACATTTACCTATTGATTGAAGTATGTGTTTTGACTTTCAATGCGACTATTTTAGTCCTCTAATTAAATTGGTCTTATTCTATTCAGATTTACTTAATGACGACATCTCCGACGACTCCATCTGCGCCAGAGAGGTGCATAATGAGAGGGGGTTTAGTGGTTGGGAAGGCTGGAAAAGGAGTTGTTGCGGCAGGTCTTACCCCTCCAATGTTGCTAGAGTTTGCCTACCAGGGCTGCAGTTCCATGAGCAAATTTCTTGTTTATAGAAGAATTAGATGAAGTAACATGGAAAAAGTTTTTATTAAAATTAATCTGAAAATTAATGTTTTAATTAATTTTAATGTTAAAATTAGATTTAAGTAAAGATTTTTAATTTATTCGGCACGATGATTTGATTATATAAATCCTACTTGACCAATGTTATGATATTTACTGGAAATAGGAATTTAGTTATATTTCTTCTCCATAAGCAGCGAATACTTTATTTTATTGATTTCAAGTATATGTAAAGGGTGAACTTTGGATGAATATTCCCATTTTCTCCATATTTGAATTCTAAATATTAGGGTGGCCCAAAAAAAAACGAATATTTTTTGTTCGTGTCTCTTGTGAAAATATGTTAGTTTATCATGTTTTAAGAGCCCCCTCAAAAAATCAGCTTAAAAAAATTTTTTAGAGGTCGTTCAAGATTTTTAAAAATTTCCAAAATCGTCAAAAATTGAATTATTTTTTATTTTTTTATTTTTTTCTCTTATTTTATCATTTTCTAGGTTGAAAAAAAATCTCGGTTCTGAAAATTTCAAATCGATAGTTTAATTTCTAAAGGTCACTCATAATTATTTTAACTTTCAAAGTACCTATGTTTTCAAGCGATCTCTAAAAATAAATATCAACGAACTAATTCCAATTTCTTTTTTATTGAATTTGATGAACAAAATAATAGAAATAAATCACAAGACACTTAAATTTTAAAAAATTATAAATATTTGATACTCACAGTGCGGTAGTAAATTTTGCCTCGAGAAATTTTTTAAGTGTCTCGTGATTTATTTCTATTCTTTTGTTCATCAAATTCAATAAAAAAAATTATTAGTTCGTTGATTTTTAGAGGTCGCTCGAAACATTTTAGTTAAAATAATTATGTGACCTTTAGAAATTAAAATATCGATTTGAAATTTTCAGAATCGAAATTTTTTCCAACCTAGAAAATGATAAAATAACGAGAAAAAAAATAAATTTTTGACGATTGTGGAAATTTTTAAAAATCTTGAACGACCTCAAAAAAAAATTTTTTTTGAGCTAATTTTTTGAGGGGGCTCTTAAAACATGATAAACTAACATATTTTCACAAGAGACACGAAAAAAAATTCGGTTTTTTTTGGGCCAATCTAATAAATATGGAGAATTAATTATAAAATTTATTCTGAACTTAATTAAAAACCAGCAATAATCAAATATATGTATAATTGTGACCTTTTGACAATGTAAATAACAGCAATTCCTAAATTGAATATTCTTAACAGTTTCGATCCATATTATTTCTAACTTTAAGACTCGGTTTTTGGTCTCATTCAGTAACATTTAATTGTTTTAACATTGACCTGGAAAATAATTTCTAATTCCTAAAATATTTGAAACTGTCTAAAACTTCGCAGAGCACCTACGATGTTTACGGCCGTCTCAAGTTATTAATTTGTAGTATAGTGTAATTTTTTTTTCTTTATTTGTGTCATAGTTTAAGTCTTTTAATTGTTTATTAATATTTTTCCACCTGAGAAATAAAAAATTAATCAAATAAATGTTTGTGCCAAAAGAATCAATTAAGGGTTATTTTTATTAAACTATTTTTGCCTTACCAAAAATCGCACACCTAAAATAGCAGATAAGTAAAAAATACTCATCAGCATATCAGTATAATGAAGACTGATGTAAAAAGAGGATGTCATTTTTTTTAAATTATATTTCTGCAAATATAGATTTAAAAATGTACTGTTCTGGTGCAAATATGGAATCCGAAGAATAAATAAAGGGTGTTCTAAAATTCAGGCAAGAAGTAATTTTGATAGAAAACACAGGTTTTATTGTAATTTTTTTGTTGATTCATAAAGTATACAGTATAGGGTTATTGTACAGAATGAGATATCGAGTAAATCGCCTCTAGGACTTTGCTGATACAAACGCACTCTTTTGTCAAAATTTTCCAGGACCTTTTTGCATAAATGCGGCAGAATTTTGTTGACAGTGCCCAATTTCCTTCTTCGAGGCGTGAGTGAACGTGGACATAAACCCTAGACTTTAAAAAACCCCAAAGGAAAAAGTCCAACGGCGTTGATTTGGGCGGCCAATTCTGACCACTAAAACGGGAAATTACACGACCAGGAAATGACTAATGCAGTAGTTGAATTGTTTCTCGGGCTGTAATGTATGTGGCACCATATTGTTGAAACCACATGTTGTCTACATCCATATCTTGCAATTTAGATACAAAAAACTGGATTATCGCGTCGTATCGTATTTCAGCAGGATACCCTGTAAAGAGCTTTTTGAAATGTCCAATTCTTGACCATGGTGCTGCCTGGACTTTGAAATTCCATTACTACGTATTCCTGCATTTTTGCCATATGACTAGCATAGAAGTTTGTAACAACATTCTTGAAACACCCTGTATATTTAGTAGATAATCGTTTCTAATTACATATTAATAAAAGCTGGCTACAATTCACAACAATCCTTGATTCTGCATTTGCATACCACACAGGTGCCACTAGGAAATAAAAAAATATGTAAAAATTCAGGTATTGCAGCATATTGAACAACTTGTTTATAAAGAGGCATGAATATGAATGACAGAAGATACCCACACGAACTGTCAAACATATAAGCTGTTTCCAGCTTAAAATTGTCATATTTTAGGAAAATGGAGTTTCAATAAAATTTAGGGAGTTAGATTTTTATTTCCGTGGCTACATAAACTGTACTTTTCTAAATTCTAATCTTTCGATTTGTTCCAGGACCTTTTTAGAATTTTTGATAATCAGAGAAATCCAGAGCTTTCCAAAAATAAATAAATGTAGTAATTTTTTATGAGTTAAAGTAAATTTTTATCCATTATGATTTATTTTTCTTGTCACAACCTTGCAGTCTTCTTTGTTCTACAGGTATAAATACAAATGAAACACATATACTTACTAACTTATTAATTTTTAAGTTTTATAGAATATGTTAATATGAAATATTTCCAATGAATGTTACCAGCTAAAAATTACTCAAGAATTATAGCATGTTGCAAGGCAGACGTTGACCTAATTCTATATAAATTACTGTTTGTGAAATTTACATGTGGTATTATTGTAGGTACAATTTGAATTAAATAAATATAAAATCGGGTTATTACAATTTGCAATATATACATGCTGATTCAAAATTCAGTACAAAGAATTTAGGAGCGACTTTTTTTCCTATAAACGTAAGTCCAAAATAAATTAAAAATTTTTTTACCGTGAATAGTTATAAAATTTGAAAATATGGCATGCACTTAAGAGTGCGTCTCGCGCTTGAAATAAACCCATTTTAAGGGTTCGGCCCATAACACATATTTGGAAAACGAATAAACATAGCGGCCCAAATAAAAAACCAATCGAAAGACAAAGTGTTTTCCTACTGCTGTCTTGTAACAGTTTTTTCAAAATTGGTTTCTAATTGTTTAAATTTAAAGAGTAAACTATGCAAGAAATCGTCATATTTACAAATTATTTACGTAAAAATAAAGGCTTAAATCAAAAATTGCTTACAAGAGGGAAGTGGGTCTATCTTTTAGCTTTACAATGATACCAAAATTATATTGATTTGATAAAAATTACTCAAAATTCTATGCTAAATCCCGAACGTCTACAACTTCAGAAACGAATATATTTTAAATGCTGCAACCACGTGTGTTTTACTCAGTGGGATGGGCTTAGAAATTGGTAATAGCCCACAGGACCGGAATTCAAAGAAATATCTAGTCAGTGATAATCTATACGTTCTCAATTGAGAAAGTATTGAATTAATCTATCTTGCGGGGTTCGATTCTTTTATTTTCATTGGTAGGGGTTTTTGCATCCAATGAGATATTATATCAGAGATTGATATAAAAACTATCTTGAGTTAAAAGTTGTACGGCACAGCCAGGCGACGTTATTTCTAGCGGAAAACTAAAAAATGTATTTTTTAATAAATGTTTTTACTGCACTATCAGCGGTAACAATTAAATTTTTAATAGTAACAGTATATTTAATTTATACAGTACAACATTTCAGCGTTTCCATCCCAGCCCATGTTTATTAAAGGAAATGCGGACAATAATCCCGTTTTCGTTTTTTGCCGTTTTTCTTGAGAAAGTATAGGTTTTTTGTTTCCAAATGCACCTGGTCATACTAGTGAAATAACTCAATTATGATCGAGTGCTCGTTGATGTGTATTGACGATTTTTAATTATTTTTGGTCATATTGAACTTATTCTCGTATACGAGATTTCTATTCGGATGCCTGTTATTAAAAATGACTGCCGCTTCTTGATGAGTTTTATAATCATCTCCCACAATAAAAACTATTTAAATTTTCTCCTAAGAAGTTATCAGAGCTGCCATTTCTTGTATTTTATAAATTGTAACTAGCGGTTTTGACGTTTGCTATCAAAAATTCCATTGGTTTGTCAGTGCAACTTACAGGAGAAGGTAAGGTAGTCGGATTTTTGTAATTTTTGATATTTATGGTATGTGTAGTTTGGACCTTGAATAAGAATTTTTCGAAGTAGTTCGACGCAACGTTCATAAATTACCGAGATAATCAATTTTGAAGTTTTACCTGACAGCTAAATCCACTAGCATTATGTGACCCATTTCTCAACTGGGAGCGTGGCGTAATTGGTAGCGTTCGGGACTGACAGTCACGAGATGGCTGGTTCGAGTCCGTCGCGTGACATTTTTTTTTTCAAAACGCACCATATAGTTTTTTATTATTTTTTTCATCTCGAAAATTATGAACAAACGAAATATTATAGTAAACACTTACGTATATGTAGAAATATTCTTCAAATATTTCATTAAAATGCACAATTGGTTGATAAACAATATTTATTATGAATTAACAATAAAGTTTCTTTAAAAAAAAACAAACAAGGTCAGGTAGGTTTTTTATTTTAATTTTAGTATTTGAAATTTTACGCAGTGTGGCATAAGCCAGAATGATAGTTATCATAGAAACATGGGAAGCAGAAACTTTCTATGCCCGAGCAGGTGTGTTTTTTTAATCACGACCCACACAACCTAGCTCAAAATGTTAATTAAACACTTGAAAAATATTCCTACATACAGTTATCATAATATTTCGTTTGTTCATAATTTTCGAGATCAGAAAAAAAAAGAAAGGAAGCTAGATGCTTAAAAAGTTTCTGCTTCCCATTTTTTTTATGATAACTACTATTCTGGCTCGTGCCACACTGCGTGTCAAATAGTAACATAAATATAAAATAAAAGAACATCCTACCTGACCTCGTTTGTTTTTTTTAATGAAATCTTATTGTTAGTTCATAATAAATATTGTTTATCAACCAATTGTGCTTTTTAATGAAATATTTGAAGAATATTCCT